ATTACTCTTGAAACATTTGAAGAAAGCCATTTGTCATAAGATGAAACATTAAAGAGTTTCATGGTGGAATTAAATTTTACTAATAAAATTCCACAAACTATTTGATTATGGTTTAGAATCAAATAATGAGTCCATTCGATTTGTGAAAATATTAAAAATAGGGTATCAAGACCATGTCTTGGATAAAGAAACACATGTTAAGTGAACATTGAATATTTAAATCAAAAATTGTCCCTAATCGAGGTCATTTAAATAGATGGACGATTAATGACCACCAGAGATTAGTGTGTAGTATGATTTACAGCACCGTTTCTTGTGCTGCAAGGATATAGTAGTCGTGAATCATTTACACAGGTGCTAGTTTGGAACTACACCGGATCGACCTATGAGAGTACTTTAAGAGATTCAAAATTGTCATAAGTACATATCTCATTATAACTATCGGAACCTCTTTCCTCGACCATGAGTATTGTTGAAGTTCTCTTGTTTGAGTACTAGTCGTTTTGATGTTGTCAAACGTCTGCCGTAACTGGGGATTATAACGGCAACACTCAAGCGGCTAAGTCCTCTTAGTAAGGGAAGCTTACAATACGAGACTGGAAATGTCCCCCTACTAACAATAGGGAATATGTCTTTGTTGTTTACAAGGCCGCTCGAAGAGCGAGACTATGAAAATGCATGGCCATGCTTAGATAGATTTTAGAAATCATCTGCTTATTAACAGTCAAACTCGGAGATCGAGAAACACTTCTGAACGTAATAAGGATGACGATGAATCTTACCTTATAGTTCATGAAGAGACATAAGCGACATAGGAATGGGCTATACACTATATGCACACTTGTCCGGAAGGACAAATGGGAGATTGAAAGGAATGGTGTCCTTACAACAAGTGTATTATTCCGATAGAGGGATTAGAATTATCGGATAGCTAATTCTTTAGTAAGGTCAAGTGATCGGAATGCCTAGGTGGAGGCCGCTTCCGATCAGTGATATTAATGTACAATTAATATTACAACTTAATCTTGACTGAACCCTTCGGGTCACACCCAATCGAGTAACCGATCCGAGGTGATGAATCAATCCAAAGGATTAGATGAGTCGTTAGAGTATTACGAACAAATACGTCGGATATCGAGCTTGGAGCGTCGAAACCGATCGTCGTAAGTCGAGTCAAATTTGGAATTTGACGAGACGAAAAATCAACGAGAAACAAGTACGAGCCTAGCCGTACCCTCGCATTAGCCTATCCATGCTCGTACTAAGGCTAGGCAAAGTCACCATCCTATGCGTGCCTAGCATCGCCTAACACACGCACATCGCATGGCTCAAGCATCGCAAGATGCGTGCCTTACGTGTGTGCGTGTTGTGGCTGTGCTAGCATGGTTGGGCGTGCTTGCTAGCATAGCAGCACCAGCCATCGCAACATGCTAGGCATGTCCAAGCACAGCCCGCATGCATCGCAAGGCCAGCAGCACGCATGTGCTTGTTGGGCTTGGCTACCACAAGCAGGTAGCACACAGCACACGCACTACAGCTCGCTATGTGTGCTTGTGCTGTGGGCTATGCGTGCTAGGCGATGGCACGCACCAAGCTCCCAAGGCCTCGCCCATCGCACAGCTCCTCGCAGCCAGGCAGCAACGTGTTGGGCATGTGCGTGTGCCAGCAAGTAGCGTCACGCCACTCGCCCAGCAGCACGCACCAGGGAGCAGCATGAGCTGGCTGGCAGCCTGTGCTAGCTGGCTGCGCATGTGCGTGGGGTGCCTGGGCAGCACATCATCCTTGGCAGCCAAGTGGCAAGGTGGTCTGGTTTTTGTGTGGGGACCAAGGGATGGTGTTTTGGCTTGGGGAAGCAAGGTGTGATGGATCCCCATGTGGTCCTCACCTAACCTTTCCTCACCTTGTGACACTTGTTCATTATCTATTGCTTGTCATTTTATGATTGAAATGCAAATCCTCCCACATTGGTGGGAGAATGGGAAATCAAGTAGCATTCCCTTATAAATACCCAAGTGTTGGGCATATGGGAATTACTTGAGTTGAACTCAATGAGGCATCTCCCTTAAGGTGAGAAAACCTCTAAGTTTGTAATACTCTAGTCTTTCTTGGTCTAGCCCCGACTAACCTTCGGGGTAGGGGCCGTTCAGGTCGGGTCTCGAGGGTGGACTCCGTTGGAGGCCGTCGCAATTGCGAGGCTAGAGCTTTCGAAGTAAGAGCTCGATTTGCGATCGAAGCACGCATCGAGGGTATAATTTCTTTCTCTCTTCTTTTAATTATTGCTTAATTATGTTTATGCTTGTTTAATTGAATTTATTATCGGGGCGGGTCTTGGGGAGTTTCCTTTCCGCGTAGTGTGGATCACTACGAAACCCTACACACTCATGTATGGACTATAAGGGATCTCCATTAATAGTGAGAAAACTTTGAGTAAGAATCTCTAAGTAGTGTCGTGATTTGGTCTAAGCCACTAAATCACGACCAAGTTTGGGCACGTGGGTGTGAGACATTGGAGGACTCGCGCTTGAGGTTCTCGCTCCCGTGGTTGCAATTTTCGAGGTTCGTGCTCGTGGTTCGCGAGAAGCACACTCCAATCACTAAACTCGATCTCGATTATGTGATTATGTGCCTATATATATTTATATGGTTTTAGTTGTATTAATTATACATGGATCCGGGTGGGTTTGGGTTTCCACACTAAAACCCAACAATGCTCATGGGCATTTTGCCTTTTCCCCACTAATGTGATGCTTTAGCAATTTTTGTAATCTTATTTTTTTTCAATGGGCATAAATCTCCCCATTATTGTGAATGCTCTATAGAACTTCCTTTTAGATCTTACTCAACTTTTTGAATTTATTTTATACTAGCTTAAGTCCCGTGCAACACACGGTTTTACTTGATCAATTATGAATTACAATGTTAATTTAACAATAATTTGCCAAAAAAAAACCATGTTTTTAATTGAAACAGAATAACTTGACTTTGTTTTCAAAAAAAAAAAAAAAAAAAAAAAAAAAAAAAAAAAGATTCTTGAATATTATATGTAAATTGATGTCAAAAGTTATCTACCATTGTTAAACGTTTTTCAAACATGTATTATAATGAAAATTAATTACTACTCGTGCAATTTATTTATAACTAATACTAAAATAATTACCACTAACATCATCGCTATCCGCGTGGCAACTTCTTATACAAAAATTTCCCTCCAAAACTTTATTAACATCATTTTTTTTTCTTTTTCGTTATGTAGTAAAAATAATTGATGGCTGGTTATTATTAACTATCGCAAAAAAAAAAAAAAAAAAAAAAAAAAAGGTTTATAGAATACTATCAATAAACATATAGAATGCTAAGTGTCAATCCCGATTGGAGCAAAAAAAACTTTCAAAAAAATTATACAAAGTTGAATGATAGTATTCTATAGAGTAATATATTACCTTATACGTATATGCTTGTATTTTTATAGAAAAATGCCTAATATATTACCTTATAAAATACATGAAAGAATATATAATTGCCAATATATGAAGATTTGGCAAAAAAAATTAATGAAAGCAAAAAAAGCGGGAAAATTTTTAACCTAAAAATTACATGTGTTTCTTAGTTTTTCCTCTAGCATATAGTTACTGATGATTCTCATTGAACATTAGACTTGCAATAACATAAATACGAGTAAGGTGGGAGACCAAGCAAGAAGGGCAATCTGAGACAACTCAAACCGAACATAGATCGATTTGGATTTTTCTGCACCACATTTTTTAAATAGCATATGTAATAAATTTAAAAGAGTTTAGATTCCAACTTTTATAGAGAGTATCTATTACTTTTCAATTTACTCAGAGCAGTGATAACTTTTTATTTGATCTGGGATCATTAACTAATTAGTTACATTTATGTTATGATTCCAACCATTCAACCAATGTGTGCGCTCAACCCACTATCATCCCTAGTTAGAAGATACAGAGTAATATAATTCGGTTAGTTTAGATCTACTTTATTATTTTTCAAGCACTAAGAGCACTTACAGCAGTGAGCAAAAATTTTGCCCACGGGCTAAATGTTCAGCAAAATACATAAAATCGTATTGAAAGCAGTGAGCAAAAAAATAATTGCCTGTGAGCAACTCTCAATTTGCTCAAGAGTTGGGCAAATTTGATGATGAATAGTGCACGTGGGGCCCATCCAGAAGAACCAAGCAAAAGCCGCCACATGTCCAAGCAAAATAAAAAAAAAAAAAATGGGACCAATAGTGGGCTGACACCTGTCCCAGCAAAATCTGGAAAAAAAAAAGAGAGAGAGAGAGAGAGAAATCACCAAGCAAAAGCCGCCATGTGGCTAGCAAAAATCAGGAAAAAAAAGGAATAAGACGCTGACTAGGCGCGTCAGAGGGACCAATCCCATGCCGCCACGCGTCCCAGTCAGATTAATCCACCAATCAGATTTTCTATCCGTTTTGCACCGGCTAATTTATTTAAAATGATTTTCGTGCTTTATAAAATTAAAAAAATAAAATAAAATAAATTACCAACGGTCATAAAATATTTTTCTCTGCAAATAGTCATCCATTTTCATATTTTTTGGTATAATTTCCGAAAACACAAAAATCCTCTACATTTGTAATTTTCCAATTCTTCCTAAATTAATATAATTGTTGTTAAAAGCCTAAATTCAGGTAATATAATTTTTTTTTCAATATAATTTTCAGTTATTAAATATTATAGCTAATAATTTGTTGTGTTATAATATTTTGGTTTTGGTTAATAATATATTTTGGAACAAAAAAAATTTAAATTTGTCTTGCTAAACTTTGTTGTTGTTATTGTTATTTTCCAAATGTACCTGAATTTTTTCTATCACCATAATAACAGTTAATTAAATTCTTTTTCTTAAATATATGTTGTAGAAATTAATTTCTTGTTTAAATATTGTTATTTTGAGCATAATTACATATGGTTAATTAATTTAAAATATGTTGATGTAATGCAGATAATTTACAAATGGATCCGAACAACCCAAATATCCATCAACATTTTTCTGATTTAAGTGATGATTTCTTAACCAATCCCCAATTTCAAATGTTCTTGCAAAGATTAGGAAATACATCTTTGCATCCTCCTTCACAACATCAAACACCCACTGAATTCCCCAACAAAAACAATGATGACGAAGAACGTACACCTCCAACTTATCACGGGAGTAACTCCCAATTCGTAGACAGTGAAGAGGAAAATGTACGAGAGACGCCTCAATACCCTCCACAAGTTCCCACAATACAATCCAACCAGGTTGCTGCACGAGCATCTCGTGTTTGGTCTGGTGCGGAAGAAGAAGTTCTAATTGGGTTGTACCTACAAATAAGCGAAGATGCTATTGTAGGTATGAACCAAAAAGCATCTAACCTATGGCGCAATGTACACGCAGCATATCAAATAGCTCAGGCGGAAAAGCCGCATATACTCCAACCAAGAGAAATGAAGAGTTTGTTGTCACATTGGAGAAGGTTGGCAGCAGACGCACTACAATGGATTTCTTGAAAATGATGAAGCAGGTAGACTTCCGGAGGGAGGGAGTGGTTACAACGAAGCTGACCGTGTAAAAAGTGCATCAAAGTTGTTCCATCTTGCCACCGGTCACAATTTTAACTTTCATCACGCAGTTGAAATGCTAAATAAAGATCCAAAGTGGAGGCCAAAGCTTAGATGGTCCTTATCCAAAGAGGAAAGAAAGGTTGTTTGTGTTGAAGAGGAGCAAGGTAGTGCTGGTAGTGGGAAGAGGTCGAGAGATGAAATAGGGGATGAAACCCCTACGGATGGTTTTTCATCTGGAGGTATACGACCACCTGATGGTGTGAAGAAATCAAAGGCTAAGCGTAAAAGAAAAGTAGTGGCGTCAGAAAGTGTTTCGTCTGACATTGGAGAGCGAATGAAGGAATTCACTACAGTTCGAGAAAGGGAGGCCATTCTGAAACAAGAGAGGATGCAAATGGAAAAGGAAAAAGAACAGAGGAAACGAGAGGAACTTCACATTCATAAGATGAAAACCATGTTTGATATGCTGCAAACTCTAAAGAATTCGCCTACGCCACTTACTCCTCAAGAAGAGGCATACAAGAAATATTTACTCCAAAAACTGAGCGGCATGAGCGATTGAGATAGGTGTTGTGTTTTGTTAGTTAAGTATGATGTTGTTGCTTTAGTTTTTTATTATCTAAGTGTTGTAACTAGTTTTTTTTATTATCTAAGTTTTTATTATCTAAGTATTAAGTATAATGTTATCATGTTATTTGTATTAGTGAAGTTTTTTATTATCTAATTTTTTTATCAGTGAATTCGTGTTTATTACAACATTTTCTGTTTGACAATTAATAGTGAGTAGTTAGTTTTGTTGACATAATTGGACAAGTTGCATTGAGTAGTAATTGTTATTGACAGAATTGGACAAGAACCATTGAGTAGTCACACCAGTCTTGCAGCTTGTCATTGAATGTGCTTGTCAATTTGCATAGTATACCAATTTTATGGCTGAAATTTGATTCTGTTAATTGGTATTCAACTCAAATTTTTAACCACATATTCATTTGATATTTTTGCTACATATAATGAACATACCACCTATCCACAACAACACCCCTCAAAAAATTTTACATACCCAAATAATGTATTCCAGACCATCATCAAGCTCTAGCTCATCTTCTTCAAATAATGAAGAATATGATCAACTTGTTGATGAACTATTCACAATCCACTACCCAACAACGATAATTCCCCAAACACAATCCCAACTTACAACAGATAATGTACCTGATCGTGAAACTCCAAGATGGGATACGAATAGGAGAGATAAGGAAATGGGGCATGAGAGGTTGTATAATGATTATTTTTCTGATAATCCTGTGTACAGCAGCAACCAATTCAGACGAAGATTCCGAATGCAGCGACCTTTGTTCTGCCGTATAATGAACAAGGTCGTTGAAGGTGATGTTTACTTCCAGCAATGTAGGAATGCAGCTGGAAAGTTGGGGTTATCACCTATGCAAAAATGCACAGCTGCTATAAGAATGTTAGCTTATGGCTTGGCTGCAGACGCCGTGGATGAATATGTTCGCATAAGTCAATCAACCGCTCGTGTTTCCCTTAAACATTTTTGTGCCGGGGTCATTGATCAGTTTAGAGCTGAGTACCTAAGAAATCCCACAACTGATAATATGTCACGCATCTTGCATCAAAATGAAATGCGTGGTTTTCCAGGCATGATAGGTAGTATTGATTGCATGCACTGGGAATGGAAGAACTGTCCTACGACTTGGAAAGCTCAGTATGCTGGCCGGAATAAGAAGGCAACCCTAATACTTGAAGCCGTTGCGAGCCAAGATTTATGGATTTGGCATGCTTTCTTTGGTATCCGTTCACCAGTATCTGAATGTGCTGTACCGTTCACCAATATTTGATGATGTTCTGCATGGTCAAGCTTCGCCAATAAATTTTACGGCTAATGGCCATGAATACAACATGGCTTATTACTTAGCCGATGGCATTTACCCAAAATGGGCTAGTTTCATTCAGGGTATTACGCATTCTCAAATTCAGAAGGACAAATTGTTTGCTGACCACCAAGCTGCTGCTCGGAAGGACGTTGAAAGAGCTTTCGGTGTTTTACAAGCTCGGTTTTCAATACTACGAAAACCGTCACTTGCATATGATGAAGACATATTGGGTGATATAATGAAAGCATGTATCATTATGCACAACATGATTGTCGAAGATGAGCGCCACAACTACACTCGAGCAGAAGTTCTAAGAAGCTACTACGAAGGAGATCGCCCACAGTTAACAACAGCAACTACGTCTACAACAATAACTAATAACGAGCCGTTTGAATTCAACGTTGGCCGACCTCCAAACATCGATTTCGACTCGTTTCTGCAACGCAAGACTTCCCTACGTGATAGAGAAACTCATGTTTCTTTGAAAAAGGATTTAGTCAACATATTTGGCTTAAATATGGCCCTACTAATCACTAAACAATTAAGATGTACTAAATTATTCCGGTAGAATTTTTATTTTTCGGTCTTTTATTAATTTTGAGTACTTTGTCGTATTTTTCAATTTTTCGTTTTTTATTTAAATTTCTCGCTTACGGTAGTTTAACAATGAATGATATTTGCAATGTAATCGAATTATTATAATGTATTGTTTTTGTAAATATTTTAATTTAAGTATGAGATTTTAATTTTAAAATATTTCCGTTTTTTTAAGAAAATAATAATTGTTGTAAATATTCTAAATTTCGTATGTACGACTTAAATTAAAAAAAATATTCATAATATTTAGTCTACTTTTATTTTATTTGGAGTAGTATGGTTAAAATTAAAAACAAAATAGTACATTAGTTATTGGTGTGTAGGAGAGAAAATAATAGTGGGGTATTGAAAAATTAAGAGAGAGATTGGTGGGCAAGCATTTTTTTTGCTCATTGGTGTGATAGTTATTGTGAAAAAACTTTGCTCATGGGCAAAATGATATTTGTTGAGAGAGAAAGTGGGCAGAGAGAGAGTGAGCAGATTGTTTTTTTGCCCACTATTGTAAGTGGTCTAATTTTTATATCTACTTTAATTATTTTTCAATCACTAATATTATTTGTTTAATAATAAATCTCTACCATTAAGATAGTTTGAGATAAATCTTATGAATAGTGTTTAAACAATTAATCCTTCTAAAATGTTTATTTACTTAATTACCTTCATTAATATTACTTGTTTGTCAAAAAAAAAATGGTTAGTTGTTATCTTTTCCAAAACTCTTAAGAATAATGTGCGACCATTTATAACCTACAAATATTTATTTACAATATTTTTCATCATTAATGTCATCAAATCATCAACAACTAAATTTATGACATAAAGTCAAACTTAAAGAGTTTTCTAAACATGGCTAGTAATAAGGCCCGCATCGCACACATTAAACATTCACTTTAACTATTGATATTATGAAGAAAAAAAAAAAAACCATTCATACGGGTTCTAATCAAATTCATATCGATATGTAGATTCTAGATATCAAGTTATCAACATTTTATAATATTTACTTATTATACAAAATTATAGATATTAATTCTTAAACTTATACCTCGATATAAACGCAAAAAGGTAAAATGTGTATTTTAATTAAAAATGGAGGGAATGTATATTTGCCCAAATCTAACAAAACTCCACTTAAATTATTTCTTCTTTCCTTATAGATAAAATCACCAATAATAGAGATTGTGCAATGGTTGAATTATTGCCTTCAATTCAGGTATTCAAGTTGGGTTCAGGTTGGGTCAAAATCAGGTCTCGGGTTAAATCAGGATTGGGTTATGTCGGGTCAATCTAGTCTCGAATCAGGTTCAGGTTCGGGTCGGGTCAATTTCGCTTCAGGTTATTTTAGGTCGTTCACCTTTTCGGGTGTAGGTCGGGTTCGATTCAAGTCAAATTCAAATCGGGTTCAATTTCAGGTTCAGGTTGTATTTAGTCGGGTTTGGGTGGGTTAATGGATGATACATTCGGGTTCGGGTTAGGGTATGATCTTAAAGTTGGATCATTATTCTTGATTTTGGTTCAAGTTCAATTCGAACAAATATCAATGTGGTCAAGTTGAACCTATATAATTACGCCTTCCATAATTTGATCAATCATTATCAAGATTTTATTAAACCTAAATGCGAAGTGATAGAGAACAAAAGGTATATAAGCTGAACAAATTGCACCAATATTTTGTTAAGGATTGAGGGTTTACATAATTGTACCAGTATATAAGCTGAACGAAAGATATATAAAATTTTATGAAACCTTCCATGACTCGGTTCAATAACAGGTTATGTTGGGTTATAACCGTTTTCAGGTTCTAATTGGGTCGGAACTATGTCGGGTCGAATTAAATCGATTGACGGTTACTATCAAGTCGGGTGCAAGTTCAGGTTCAGGTCATAAAGTACTGGATAAAATTGGTTGTCGGTTAACATCATGTCAGGTTACAAGTCACTAGTTTCACGCTATTTAGGTATAGGTCAGGTTCAGATCATCGCCGGTTCATGCCGGTTCAGGTCGAATTCTCGGGTCGAGTTAGTTTTTGACAGCACTAGTTTGAATAGTGCAAATTATTAAGTGGTTCCACTTGGGAAAAAAAAATTAAAACATAAATTAATATAATACTGCAGTACTAGGGAAAATTTGCAAGTTTGTATCCTAGAGCACTTTACTGAAAGAAAACCTAAAAGTTCGTTTCTCAATAAGGACCAAAACTACTTAAAAGACAACACAAACCTATACCAAGGACAGCTATTTCAATCCCTCCATTCTTTCTAACAAAGTTCTTGGTATTTTTTACTTGTTTTACTGCCTTTTTTTCATATTAATTGCAAAGGAATTTTTTTCTCATAAATAATACTCCTTTATTGCAATTAATATGAAATGTATGTAGTATTTTTTTTTGTATCATTAACACAGTGTAAGAATAAATCCAGCAGAAGCCTTGGTTACATATATAAATACCACCAGAAACTAAAAATGTGACTGAACTAATCCACATGTAAAATCACTCATCCCCTAACACTTTAAAGCGTTAAGAGTGTCGCGCTCTAAATCCTGTTTATAGAATGCAACGCGAAAAGGCAGAACTATCAACAATGTTCCTAAGGTTAATCTACATAGGAAAATAGCATGTCAGCAGTCATCTATCTAAGGCTACCAAAAGAAACCAGTCTCATCACTCTTATGCATTTCAATGCAATCCTTCACATACAAGGAATACACTAAATAAGAAGCTTCAACAGCAGCTACATTATGATATAATAAAAAAATTATTAAAATAAAAAATAATAATAAAAAAAAAAAATTACTATCCTAACAAAAACTAAGAGCCTATTATACATCTCTTTGATCTTCAATTTTAAACGATTAAGAAGCTCAAGATATATCACAGCCAAAACAACTAAACAAATAAAAACATAATCATACTTGTACAAGTTAAATTCAATCAGCATCACTAACTCATCTATTTTTTCTCAGGCACACTACTGTAAATAGAACAAATTCCACATTTCACATCCAAAAATTTGCCCTGCAACGGGCGTATCACTAAAAGTCTAAACACAAACCAATTAATTCAACTTTTAACTCCACAAAAAAAACTTGATGAGCCAACTTTCAGCAACCCATTACAAAGTGCAACTTCTTGGAAAAGGAGAGTATATAAATATCCAAACCCCCAACCCTAACCTATTATTAATATTTGGAAGATCATCAGATGGGTTAAACTGCAGTAATATACAACATTATTTCGCTTAACATGCCTTTAAAAGCTTAGTAAAATTCCAGCATAATTTCAAAGGATATGATATAAACAACTCCCATAAAAAGCATATCACAAAACAGATGCTACACATCCACTAGTACAACGAATTAGGTCACTCAAATAAGAGCCAATTCAAGCAATGATCTCAACTTCAATTGCAAATTTTACGCTAAGAGTTTGCAAACATAAAAACCCTGAACCAGGTAAGACCTGCAATTTTTCAACAGAAAAGAAAAAAATGATCCACGATCTTTGGATAAATGAAGAGGACAGAAGTATGTCATGAAAGAGTGAAAGGAAACACCAATTTCTATCAAAAAATGCTCTAAAGTTGAAACAATTGATATTACAGTAAATTCTAACTAGATTAACCATTTGTCAAGGAAGTTTCAGAAATATACTGGCCAAAACTTAAGAAAGAAATAAAGAATGCAACACTAAGTTTATTATACTATAACTAGCAACATACTTCAATGTTCAAACTCAAATGGGAACCAGAGGTAAAGGAAGCACATATAAGCACTGCGTGATGTTCCATCTTAAAATTAATAGGACAGAAAGTCAAAATTGATAACACACTAATATGGATACAACTTCCAAGTAAGGTCGGTCATCCATTAGATCTATTACAAATAAACTAGAAAGAGGGTAAAGCATACTTCGTATAAATTGCACTCACAAAGCAGATCAAGATAATATTCATGAAATTAAAGACTGATTGCCTAAATTACAAAGATTCACATAAATTGACAATTTCTTTTGTTTCCTAATAATTAATAAAGAAATTTCAGAAAGTAAAAGAATTAAACCATACTTCAACACTTCAAAATTAATAAAATTCACTATACAATCTCTATTTTGGTAAAATAATTCTGTAAGACAAAAAACAATCATGACGGGTCTTATTAGGTTCGTCTTGATTTATACTTTATAAATATCAATTTTCACAATCTTGAGTTTTTAATAATAAAAGTAATGGTTAATAATTTACATTGGCACACGTGAAACAAGAAGTGTTTCATCAATAAAAATTAAAAAAAACAAAAAAAATAAAGAGAAAAAATAAATAAAATAAAGATATGCCAACATGGGGTACAAGTAACCAGCACTAGCTCACCATAAAACATATTACTTGATTACTATGTAGTGACAATGCATAAACAATTTAGCAAAAACAATACAGATCATTCATACTAGTTTAAAAAAAAAAAAAAAACATATTCGGTACATCCAAGATCACCAAATCCAAATCAAGGCTTGGTAGGACACCCATGGGCTTCTAATTATGACTATGATTAAAAAAAAAAAAGGGAAACACTATCACATTATGACTCAAGTCAAAGACAAAAGTAGCGCAGCACAAAAAAGGCAATACTATCCAATCTAAAATCATAAGCCACAAAATACGAAGAACAGCAATAAGTAGAATTTTAGAAGAAAAATATCGTAAGAATTCATGCCAATAAAGAAAGATGTGTTCAAATGCAAAGCAAAAGGTCACAGGATCATAAGAATCATAATCAGTCCACTACTACACGAGCTATAATGAAGTTCACAAAATTTCACATCATAAATTCATCCAACATCACTATATGATCCAGGAAAGTTACCTAAAACAAATTTGTGATTGAAGATATGTCCTACTTCACCATAGATAACACCCTTCTGAGCATAACTACCAAGTTTTATAAATTAAAAATAAATTAAAAATCAAAAGCTAAAACACATGTACAGGGTCTGCAACTGGATTTAAGAAGCCAAAGCTAGTAGAAATTAATGAAAATTTCTGGTAACAGATTGAGTCTACAACTAGCTTAAAGCATTGTGACCAACAAGTTAGCACCTTCAAATGAAAGACAAAACCATGACATCAAATCAACTGGTCAGCAGAAGTAAACCTTTATAAGGAAGATAGTAATCTGTTAACATGATACTGTCAACTATGAAGCTTATGCTCCAAGGAAGAAATAAATAAAATCTCGTCCACTACTTTCACTAACCAGGCAGAGATACATTAGTGGAATTCCTAATACTACAAGCAGAATCAAGAATGAAACAACAAATCTTAGAACCCCAAAAGGTAGTAAATTTCGAGAACATGTAACATGGAAAAGGATAATTCATGGACTACAAACCATTTAAACGAGCCTCAGTTTCAGGCGACATACATATGTACATGAGAAGCAGGCCGAACGCAAAGTGAGGCCAATAGTAGAATCTGAATTGTACATCTACCTGATAGTGACAAACTTGTTGGTACCATGTTTAGCCCAATGAGTCCTCAAATCAATTGGGTTAGTAAAGTTATAACCTTCGGCTGCCAACTTTTCCAACACCTTCTTGAATGCCCCCAAACTCATCTTTCTCCCAGCTATCCTTGCTCCACGTCGTTTAGAACTCATTGGTAAGGGGTACGTTGACAAACTCGTAGTACAGCATGCTGACTGCCACCCACCAGAACCCCATCGATAACATTGTTGAGGAGCCCCGGTGCAAGAACAAACTGGAATCGGAATACTAGATATATCCATATCAATTCCATTTATGATAACCTCCGTGGTTTTCTTCGCAGACTTTGCCCTTTGACCTGAACCACTGCCGCCTTCCTTAGGGCCGCTAGGGGCCTTCTTCGGTTTCTTCATTTTAGGAGCCTTTTCAGATTTCCCAGCTGATCTCTTTTTCATGGGACCATTATTGATCTCACATACTGGCTCAATTCGGACCGTCCTTTCCTCATTTGAAGATTCGGGTTGTCGAAGCATTTGCATAGGGTGATGAGTTGGGGCAGTCTCAGTAGGAATAGCATAACTATGACTAGTAGGCAACATATTAAAAAATTTATTATCTCTATGGATCCAAGCTTCCCTCATATTATAATCAACCGGGTAATGAGAATTCGGAACCACATAATCCCTCTGATGAAACCCGGCATTCGAATTCGCAATTAAAGCCGACTCACGGCTTCCAAGTAGCGGTTTCCGGTCCGCCATGTTAGACATGAGCTGCAAATTCAGATGCTTCATGGGAGGATCATAATATCCCCAATTCCGCATATTAAGACCACCATCGCCGTCCATCGGGAAACTAGGTTGAACAAAAAAAAATTGGAAAAAAAAAAAAGAAAAGAAAAAAGGGGAAAACTTGTTAATTAGAGATGAATTTACAAACTCCAACCCATTCTCTGTCCGACATTACGTTCCTCATTACACACCCTAAAACAACAAAACATACAAAACCCAAAACTCAATACAATCGAACGACATAACAATGAAATCAACCAAAATTCAATAAAATCACAACAAAGTCAAACCCAGACAAAATAAACAAACACCCATCATGATTTCAACAGCATTGATGTTAAATAACCAAATTACAACAATCAAATCACTTCAAATTGTAATTCTATCAATCTACATTTCGATTCCGATTCCGATGCATGAACAAGATTTAAAATTTTAAAGAGCGAGATCTCAAATGTGATAAGTAAAAATTCAGATCTCAAAAACGGATAACAACAGATCTACAAGCATTTAAAGAAGTTTGTTAAAAGAGAGACAGGGTAAATAGATAAGGGAGAAAAGAGGAAGAGGAGAGAGACGAGAGAAGACAGAAGAGAGAGAGGGGTACTTACTGACGAAGAACGGGAATAGCCGGGTTAGGGTTCTTTCTTCGGATGGAGAGAGAAAGGGGAGGAGAGAGAATGAGAGGAAAGAGGAGAGAGGAGAGAGGAGAGAGAAAGACTCAAATGGTATGAAAGGAGCCGAATATGCACGCCATCTTAAAATCTAAAAATTCATTAATACCACGTACGAAATACTACTAATGTGTTTAGTCTTGCTCTCTCTAATTTTTTTTTTTTTAATGACACGATAAATAACGGTTGCATTAATAAAGACACAAATTTTTATGTGTGGTTGGTCACACGGTGTAGTCTGGATTACTCGATCGGTCATAAGTTACTTGATCGATTGAGGGGTTGTGCATTCGGGGTTATTTGGTCGATTAAGGGTTGTATAGTCGGGATTACTCGGTCATAAATTACTTAAATTGTCATCAGGGATACTCGATCAGTGATTTGGGGTGTGTCAATTTGTCGCCGATAGGTGTAGAAATCGTCGTTAAAAGTGCTCCTATCAAATTAATTCTAACTACCAAAATAAATAAATATAGTGGGAAGTAAGGGTCATATTTCCACGGAGAAGCGAAGCAAATCAATCATAAAATTCATGAACACAAGAGCCAAGAGGTATATTTTTTGAGGTTTAAACACTAAAAATAATTAATAGACACAATCAACAAGAGATTCACGCAATAAAAACAAGCGCTAGGGGGTACATGGGTTCCAAACATGGCCAACATATCAAAATAATGATGGAAATCAAGATTAACAAACCAAGGATTATGACATTCTTTGTTCAAGCAAATCGATAATCGAGATCTAATACCTAAATTAAACACACCCGTGAATCAAAAGTAGACAACCATTCAAATTCGGGAATTAAAGGTGCACTCAATAATCCCAAGCAATTTATAGCACAAATCATCAATTCAAGGCATAATACTCAATCATCCATCATCATCTAGTCAACATCAATCCACATTCTTTACCCCCTTCCCCTAGTTAGAAATCTAGCCTAGAGAAGGAAGAGAATCCATTGAAACAAAGCTACATGAAACAACTAGCACAACTAAGCTAACAAGGTTGAACAAAGCAAAGCAACAAAACTAAACCACCAAACAAGGATAACAATCAAAATAGAAAAAAATAAACAAGTAAAGAGAGAAGATGGGATGAAATTACTCAACAAAAGCTTGGATTGAAAATTAACTTCAAAGGAAATCAAGTGCTACAATGGAGAATTGAAGATTACACTACTTTCTCTCTCTAGAAAACTAGGTTAAACTCTCTAGATTAGGGCTAAAAATCTGAATAAAATTCTTATTTTATTACATCATTAAAGTTATTTATACTCCCTTCTAATCCCCCAGTAAGCCCAAAATAAAGCAAATGTGCACGGAAATACCCAGGGGAGCGGTCGCTCAATCGGGAGGAGTGGCCGCTATAGAGGGTATTGAGGAAAACTTCGAACCTAGAGGAGCGAGCGCTCCTATAATGGGGAGCGGGCGCTCCTCAAGACTGCTTAAAAGAGGGGAAATTAGCTTCGGGAGGAGCCGACGCTCTAACTGGGGTGAGCGGCCGCTCCTTGCAACTGATCCGCACTCATTACTTTCTTCATGCTCTATTCTTCCTTTACTCCAAGACATTCCGAGGTTCAAGCGAAGCTTTGGGGTAATGATTGTGGGCCTCTTGTGCAACATGAAACAAGCACTCATACACAAATATAAGCAAGACGGGAGAAGGAGTAAGATAAGAGAAGAAAAAGGGATAAAATTACCCAAAATCACATAATAATATCCAAGGGTTACTAGGAGAGGGGGAAAAAAGCAAAATTACATCAAAACTATGAGAAAGAAGGGGAAAATGGAACGAGAAAAGGAAAAGAGAGGGGAAAGGTCATATCAGCCGCATGGTGTTGTAGGCCACACCCAAAAAGCGCGTTGTAATAAAAAATATATAAAAACCAATATAAGTACATAGTAACATTTTAGAACTAATTACATCGTAGATTTGATTAACAATCACCTTTATAAAAAGATTCATTTAAAGCAATACAATATATAAGTTAGCACATTCGACTTGAAATTTACTGATGTAAATTTGTTTGGGTGAAAATGCTCATGTGGTCCTCTAAATGCTTGCGGTGATTATAAACCCTTGACTTTAATACTCACCAGACGAACAAAGAAGGCTATTTAACACAATAGAAAAAACACCATCTCAAGGATGGGATCTAATTATTGAAAGTAGTTAAAAAGTTTTAGGGTCTTAACACCAGTAAAAGCCCCTACAAAGATTCACAATTGAGACTAAGAAGGAAATAAATGAAAGAGAAGGAGATTAAAGGGAGAAGTGTGAAGGAAACTTTTTCGGGGTTTTTTTGATGTCCTGCGAGAGAGTTACAATCCAAAGACTGGTCTCTGGACGCCTATACCTGCAAAACAACGGAGACTCCGGTTGGGTGGAGTTCCGCCTCCGACGATCAACTTAGAACGTGTTCGGATGTAAAAAGTGCGGAATGTAAAGGGGGATTAGGCTTCTCTTAGAAGAGAAGTGATCATCCGGCTATCTCAGACAGCCTCGAAATCCGAGCCTTAGCTCTCAAGAATTGCAATTAAAGCTGCAGTTAATGCTCAGCAATTAATTTACACGTGTGTTTAATAACTTCTAAATAAATCCGTATCCCCGAGGGGGAACATCTCCCTTTTATAGGATCTTAAAATGCGTGCCTAGTATTAGGTTTCAGAAACCTAGGACTGACTGGGCTTGACTAGGAATTTGGGCTGTTAAAGGCCACTTTCCTAGTTGGCAATCTGTCTACCACGTGTCATGGCCTGATTGGTCCACCTTGGACTTCTCACGAGGTGACACGTGGCGGACTCTGGTTGGTCTATGTGGATGACATGTGGCAGAGTTCAATTGATCCACGTGGCGGGGTTAAAATCCCCTAATCATTTGCCCCTCACAGGGGTGAAGTGGCTTGCCACGTGACGCCTGTGACAAATATCACACTCTGATTGGCCAACGGATTTTACCTGTTTTTTTTTATTTTTTTTAGGTGTCCCTTGGAATCACCTTCCTATAAATAGGGGATGTCCTAATCATTTGTTGGACATTCCTAGAAATTTTAGACTGAACTCTTGATTTGAGAACTTATCATTTTCTGAAAAGAACGATTGCCGCTTGTTACCAGACCGCCTGCTCTTACAGCCGCCGAAGATTTTTCAAGCACCTTCAACTTTAAAGTCTAAAGGTAACTGTCTTTTTGTCTTTCGTATTTTCTCTTTACTTCTTTTTCTTTTTGAAAAAATGGTTTCCCAAAAGCACACGGCACGACCTAGGTTAATGATCAGCAAGTCACCGGGGACGGCTGAGTCTAGAACTAGGAGTGCCGACTGCCCCTTGATAGACCTCTCTTTGTGAAGTACCCCGAGTCCGACTGTCTATGTGTCTGTGCAGGACACCATGGCCTGAATCAAACAAACAACCAGGGTGGTGAACTCGGACGGCTCCTCCTTTAGGGCGCTTGTTAGTTAACTATCTGATGTGCCGCCTAGTGCCCCAAGTACCCCCAGTGATTCCATTTTATAAGAATTAGGGGAGGAAGTTCAAAATGAGGACTCGGGCTCTATTGGACAAGCCCCCCATGCGGACGCTAGGTCCGAGAGCTCAGGCAATGACTCTGAGCCAAGTACTTCAAGCAAATTCTCTGATGACTCTAAAGCCGTCTACTACCCACCAAGAGAAATATGCCGCCTACTATCATCATGTTCCCACAGGCAGGCGAAAAATGATGGCGGATAAAATAGGGAGCTTCAGAGTTGACCATGTCATGGGGCATGGTTATATCATATGCACGCCGGATGCTGAGGACACCGTAGTCTGGCCAGAGGAGTCCAACTACGGGGACGAATGTTTTGGCTGCTATGAGGCGGCTATTAAGGCTGGCCTAAGATTTCCTCTATATCTGGCTGTGGAGCGAATCCTGGACGGATACCAGCTGGGTGTCTGGCAACTGACCCCAAATTCTTGGTTCAACATCTTAGGCTATGTTTCCAGCTGCGAAATGCACGAAGTAGACCCCATCTTTGAAGCATTCGCTCACATGCACTACCTCATCCGAACCTCAAAAACAAGCGGGACCGACTGGTACTAATTGTCTAGCCACAAAGGCTATATGATGACTCTAGGGAAGGAGAACAAATGGAAAGATTGGAGGAACACTTTCTACATTGTCTCCAACCCCAACAAAGTCAGAAATTAAAAGTTTAATTAATAGGTGGAACAAGAACCCACCTTTCCTAATAGGCAAATCTGAGCTGCCGCTTGTTCCTCGTAGAGCCAGAAAGGAGATCCTTGACAAAGGCTTTTTCAAAGTGGTTATCCAAGCAAACCCAGAGACTGGGGCGAGAGAGTTCATTCCCCAGAATCATATTCCCTAGTATAACTGGCTATACGATGGGACATATCTGGCCGCCTGTGGCCTTAGTGGAGAGATGCCGAGAGGTAGTTGACCGCATGTTCAAGTGTTTTGTAAGACTTGGTTGATTTTGTGTCGAACTAACCCTTTGATTCATCTTTTGCAGATAAAGCTATGGAGAAGCTCTCGGCATCAAAGAAAGCTGTTGCTCTACACCGCTCGGCCATCCTGGGCAAGCGGCCTGCTGAAGAGTCGCCTGCTTCACAGGCGCCCAAGGTGAACTTCTCTTCCATTTGTCTAAGTCAAAATTGATTTGTTGTCTCCTACTTCTCACTTTGTGGTTTTTGTTGCAGGGCGACCCAACAAACCCTCTCCTCACTCACAGTCGGATCCGAAGATTTAAAATCAGACGGCTAGTGACGTGACAACTCCTGGTAAACCTAGGAAACATGTGGCCAGTAGGCCGGGGAGAAGCCATCCTCCCAAGTCTCTAGCCGTCCTTGAGGTCAGTCGGCCTCATAAGGAGAAGGAAGTGGCGGCTGAAGGTATCAAAAGTTTTAATCCCTTGCCTTACCCCTGTAGGGTCAAGTTCAATCAGCAGTCGTCTAGTACCTCTAAAAACAGTCGGTCTATTGGCCAGGTTTACACCAAGTACTTAAAAAATGTTGATTATGCAGATACCCCTCAGAGGCTAGATCTTCAACAACTGGCCAAGACCATGCTGAGAGCCGTCTCCCTTGAAGACAGGGAGTCGGTTAGGGGAGTCGGCACCCTCAACCTGGATTCCATCCTCGCCCTCCTAGCTGAGGTATCCT